TCAGAATAGTACACTCAACACCACTCAAACATTCATTTCTCTACTACATGGAGGAAGATAAACATGCCTTAAATACTCTACAGACAGTTGTATTCCCAAACACGTGGTACTTGATCTTAACTCAAAGCAGGTCTTAGGTATCTCTTAGAGATTTTCCATGCTCTTAAAATGCAAAATGAAATTAAGCTGGAGGAAGCTGAACTAAATGTGTTTTTAGCATAAAGCTTGCTGCAGTCTGTTAAGAGCCTTTTAAATGGATCCTGTAGTGAAAAAGGCTTATGGGTTGCTGAGAAAGCTTTAATGGTACTCTCAACGGAAAAGTAATTGAAGAGATGGGTGAAAAGGGCACCCTTTTTCTTTATTTCAGTCACAGATGCATCAAGGCATGGAAACAGCAAAACATTTTCAGTACCTATTTGTTAGAACTGAAAGTAAAAAACATCAGCCCTCTACTTCTAGGTACCAATGCAGTAGAAATACTTATTAGAAAAAAAAAAATGGTGCATCATTTGCAGCTGCTAACTTTAGTATCAGCTTTGATAAATGAATGAAGAATAAGAATGGGAATTTCCTGCTAGTTGTTTAGCACTCACCTGATTTCCAAATGAAGAGAACTGATGAGCCATGATTTGATCTTCAGAGGTTTAAAGCAAAGGTCTTTAAGCTGAAAAGAGTATCAGCTCAAGAGTTTAGTGGGAGTTTTCATACTGTGAGCTTCGAGTGCATGGAAATATCAGTGCACATTCCCATAAGGTGCTTCCCTAATGTTACAATTTGAAGTACAATATTGTGTTTTGCAGCAATATTTTTGAACAATTTCTGAAGGTTTCCCAGTTAAAATTTTTACATGAAAATGAAGACGGTGGATACCAGTGGCAGAATACTCTATTTATTCCTGTGTAATGCACTGAAAAGCTCACTGTAGAATCTGAAAGTGAGCACACAATTCAAATGTGTTAAAGAATGCATTAATCAACAACAAAGTTAGTAAGAATTATTTGATTGTAAAGGTAATACTTATTTAAAAATGTGTCAAGGGAAAACAAAAAATGAAATAGGGTAACAATCACTGGTTTACCCTGGGTAGCAAATATGTTGGCATCATATGATATACATCATATCACGTATTTCAGAAAGCAAAATCACACTAAAACTAATTCTATTTTTTTGTGAAAATGTTTTAATCATTAAAAGCAGTAAGCACTGCTGAAACATTCAGATTTGACAAGAGGCTGGGTGTGCTGCGTTTGGAATAGCGCGTAACAAGAAATCTTATAATTATGTATACGTAATTCAAGAACCTTTTACTAAAAATTCTTAGAGTATGTCTTCCAGTTCAGTGAATTAATAAGTACTCTATCATATTTCCTTCTAAGGTAGTTGCTTCCTATGTCAAGAACTGTGGAAATATTTTATCCCCGTAAAATCATAGAATCAACCGGGTTGGAAAAGACCTCCGAGATCATCAAGTCCAACACTTAATGATGTGGTCAGCCAACTACGCATTCATATGTTCATAGCTGAGCTTCAAAGTCAAGATAATTTCAATTATAAACAATTTTATATTTGATCTTAAAATAACATTTTAATAATAAATTGCAAATAACTGCTGAGAATCAAGCAGAGGTGTCATTTTATATTGTGTTCTGACAGTGGCTTGACTAGTAGAAATATCTCCCAGCATCTAGTTAGGGACTCCCTGAGCAAGAGGTATGTGTTTGATAACGTTTAATGGATTTCTCGATCATGAATTTGCCCACTGACTCTTGAAGGTACATGAACTATCTGGAAAAACCTCCTGCCTCAGACTATACTGGCATCTGCACTTGCTATGACAACTGATGAAAACAACAAAACACTGACTGAAAACGCAAACCCTAGTGTATCCATTTGCACTAGACAGGAAAAACCAACCTCATGCTGGTTTTTGCTGGGGTAGAGTTAATTTTCTTCTCAGTGACTAGTATGGGAGTGTTTTGGATTTGTGCTGAACACAGGGCTGGTAATATAGAGATGTTTTTGTTATTGCTGAACAGTGCTTACACAGACCCAAGGCCTTTTCTGCTTTGCATACTGCCACATCGGCTAGAAAGTTGGGGGTATGGAAAGTTGGGAAGAGAGAGGTGACAGGTCAGGACAGGTGACCCAAATTGACCAGAGGGATATTCCATACCATATGACATCATGCTCAATACAGAAAGTTGGGGGAAGAAGGAGAAAGGCATGGGGGGGACACATTTGGAGTGATGACTCTTCCTAAGCCATCATTATGTGCGATCTTGGAGATGGCTGAACACCTGCTTGCTCATGGGAAGCAGGAAACTAAATCCTTGTTTTGCTTTGCTTGTGTGCGTGGTTTTGCTTTTCATATTGAACTTCATCTCAACCCATGAGTTTTCTGGCTTTTACCATTCTGAGTCTCTCCCTCGTCCTGCTGGTAGGGGAGTGAGTAAGCAGCTGCATGGGTTTTGGTGGCTGGCTGGGGTTAAAGGATTCCAAACCCCATCCATGGAGACAGGACTGGAAGCACAATGCAGCCAGCTCTGATGCACAGCGGACAATCAGTCCCGATGCAATCTGGTATGCACTAGGAAACCCATCAGCTGAACAAATATCCTGCCTTTTTGTGTGCGTACAATATGTGCAACTTACAGAACTGGTTTGTACCGAAATATAAGAACTCGCAATATTATGTGTGAATATCCAAACACGTCAGTATGGTCCAATTGCCAAAAAATGGCCACAATACAGTTGAGTCCTTGTGTATTTGGATTTCCATCTTCACTGAATGAAACCACGGCCGCTGCAATCCAACGGCCTCATGCGCTTGGACACTCAAACTGTAAATACAGGCGCTGAAAGAGGACCAGACCAAGCACATTATTTTAGCAGAGGGCCTGCTCCGTGCCTGGCACCAGATGAACCTGTCGGGCCGCACAGCCGATCACCGCCGCAACCGCGACCCGTCAGGGCCGGCCGGGGCGGCCGCTCGGGAGCACGACAGGCCCCGCGCCGGCCCCCCACGTGACCCGGGCGGCTGCGGCCCGCCCCCCGCGGAAGGAGTAAAGGGTAAGCGGGCACAGGCGGCCGGGGGCGGGCGGAGCGATGGGAGCCGGGCGGGCTCAGAGCGCCGCAGAGTCGGGGCGGGGAGGCGGTGGAGGAGCCTGCTGGGGGAGGGGGGAGCGGGGAGCGGGGCCGGGCGGGGGGAGACGTGGCTCGAGGTGGGGTGGCGGGGAGCGACAGGCGCCCCGCGGCGGGCCCGGCCGTGAGCCCGCGCCGGGCGTTCTGTGCCGCCCCCGCCCCGCCCCTGCCCCGCCCGCCCGAGCCGCCCCACGGGCGGGTCCCCGCGCGGCGGCGGAAGCACTGCTCCCGGCATGCAGCCGCTGGAGCGTCCCGGCAGCGTGTTGGGTACAGGGCTGTTCCCTTCTTCCTCTTTCAAATTACCGAGATACCAGTGCCCAGGGGGAAGGGTCTGGATTAAACAGAACTTGCAGAGCCAGCAGTGAGAAGCAGCGTTGTTCTCCGCATCCTCTACCTGTCTGAGGCGGTGCGGGAGACGGTCGTGCCCCGATGCCGGTGGAAATGTAGCATGTGCGGGGGAACAGGCTGGGAAGCGACTCCGGAGTTGTACTCCCGTTCGCTGGCATCATGTCCTGCACCTGGGACTTGTGCTGTGCGCTGCTCTTGGTCCTGGACTGGATGCAGTTCTTACTTAACATATTTTCCTGCTTTATTAAATGTCTGTCAGATATCATGTGTGCCCTTTGATGAACACAGTTAATGGCAGTTACCTAGTATTCTGATGGAGGGGCTTTCCTGTTACCCTACATCATGAACATCTGAGAGAGAAATTTTTTTTTGTTTGGTTTATAATGATACAACTTGTCTTAAAGTGGCTGCTTTTCTGCATCTGGTTCTTGTCCTTCAATCTGTTCTTAGTTAAATGCTTCTCTGTATAAAGGCTGCAATGCTTGAAGCTGAAGAGATTCAGCCAGTTCCTAGATAGGTCCTGGTGTTCCTACCTTTTTAAAGGAAAATTATTTTTTTTGGAAGTTGGTGAAAAGCTTAGATAGAAAAACTGCAACTGTAGACTAACCTTGTAAAAATCTTTTAAATAGGTAGTATTCCATTGCAGGATTTTTTTGTTGCTGTTGATTTTTGTTTTCTTTTTTCTTCATATCATTGCTGTTCTGAGCACACTGAGATACCAAAAAAAAGGCAAAAGTGGTCTAGGAAAGCTGCTTTACATCCCTCTAAATAACTTTCTTGTACCAACACATTTTTATTTTCTTTTTATTCCCCAAAAGCATATGTCACACATACTTGTCCATTGTTCAACTAGGAAGAAAATAGAAATTGTCAACAGAATATACTTGGAAGACAAGTATTGGGGATTTTCAGGTTAAATGAAATAATTTCTCTAAAAGACTTCAGTTGTTAAAATAAAGGAAGTTATTTTTCGAAGGCACAGTTTTCTGTATTAGTTTGTACATTTACTGTATTGATATGGCACAGACAGTAGATAGTAAGGAGTTGGTTCGTCAGGCCTTACTGCTGGATGATTTCATGGGAATAGACTGTTGGGGAGTCAGTTCTAATTTCCTGCTTTGAGCAAGCATGCACAAAACTACCTTTACAGTAGTTGTGGGAGAACTAGTTATTTTTGTAAAATATGCTGAAAATTGAAAATACCTTTCAAATGTTTCTTGCATTCATTTGTTCTTGATTTGTTGGGGAGTCAGATTTCTAATTTCCTTGCTTTGAGCAAGCATGCACAAAACTACCTTTACAGTAGTTGTGGGAGAACTAGTTATTTTTGTAAAATATGCTGAAAATTGAAAATACCTTTCAAATGTTTCTTGCATTCATTTGTTCTTGTATTCATTTGATTTTCCATTAGGCTAGAAGAAACTTCCCTATTCCCTACTAAATGTACTTGGTCTTAACCCAAATGCAGGAGCTTTAAGAAGAATTTGTTTCTGACAATATTCATGTTTAGAATTGAATGCTGTCATTCTTAGACTTCTTATTGAATATTATATGAATACTTAGTGTTATATATTGTGGTTAAAACTGAATATTCCTTTTTTGTTGTTGTTTTTGCCTAAATTGAGTTCTGGATAATCACAACTAAGAGCACAGGTTCATGGTACTGGAAAGAATCCAGAGACCTAACTAGATAAATGTGCGAATTCATTTAAATTCAAAGGTTATGCTATTGTTTACGGTTAATATAATTTACAAATGCAGTGAGTTTTGAAGCAACTGTGCATTTATGCAGTCTACTCAAGACCAAAACATAACAGCAGCTAGTAGATGTTCATAAAGAACACTTAAAATCAATTTATAAAATTAACTTACTTCACATGCATTGAATCTTTAGGCTCAAAGCAACACAGGACTTTCAGTTGTAAAAAGCTAAATACCTGTTATGTTGCTCTCTTAAGTGATTTCCAAAATTGATGTAATTTAGTACTTTCCTTTACTTGCAATATATATTAATGATTATTAGAAGATGTAGAGACATGAGTAAAACCAAATATTGTAACTTTTATGTTAGAAAAACTGGTACTCTGTCACCTGTGTGATGGTACTTGGAACATACTGCATTACATCTAAAGTTTAAGTGCTCTGAAAAGATCTGATTTGTAACAATTACTGACTTTTTTTTTTTGTATTGCAATTCTTTTTCTTGATGCTTGTATGTATAAAATGGAATAGTGAATAACTTTTCAGAACTGAGGAGTGGCTGATTACTCTCTGTCCTGAATTTGTTGTTAATTTGATTGCTGAGCGAAACTTTGATCTACAACTGTATTTTCTTCAAATTTTTCTTTTATGTTTGAAGAGTCAGATATTTGGTTTAGAAGTACAAGTTGGTCCATGAGGGTAAAATTTCTATACTTGAGACACAAAATTAATTTTTAAGACTAGTAATATGAATTTCTTTCCAGTTACAACCAACATGTGAACTGAACCTTTGTACATGAGATAGATCCCAATGATGGGATGTAATAATATTAAATTAAAAGAAGAATCGGTTCCATATTAAATTTATTTTTTCCCTCCAGTAATAATTCTGTGACAGATTATGTTGCTGAGTGTTGTGGTTTAAGCTTTTTTATTTGGTTTGTGACCTGAAAGCTCGTTATGTTGATCTGTTTTTTTCTGCTGCTGAGAACTTCTCTGTATGTTATAGCTCTGATAAGATTACAAAAGTGGATTTTTATTGTTGTTTTTCTTTATTGTGGCATATTGGAAAAAAAATCCTGCATATTTCATAGTGATGGGAGCTATTATATGGAAATTGTAATTGCTTTAATTCAAGTTTAGGCATAAAAACCGGTACGAAATGGAGTTGAAGCTAACAAAATCTGCTGCTTTGTATTTGGAACAAGCAAAACATCTAGGCATCAGGACAAAATGGCTGACTTAGAAGAAAGAGAACAACAGAGCATACACGTGTAGTTGCTGAAACTGTTGATTAGGTTAGGATTTGTTGTTTCAATGACACAGCAGTTGTTTCCAGGACCTATGACATTTCCAAACTCACAATAGAGTGCTATTCTTTAATGTTTGTGTGCCAGAGGTTACAGAGAGAGTAGTATGATGGAGGAATAGAGTGAGCAAAACCTGAATACGGAGTATAAATACATTAGTGGAATAGACATGTTACCACTATGGTGGAATAATACCAGGATGAAGCTGTCTTTATTGAAGGATACATGAGAGATCCTTCTGGAACTAGATAGTATTTTTAAATGAAAACTTAAATACACTGATCTATATTGATTATTTTAACTGAAGACTTAAGTGGGCTTGTCTATTTTGATTCTTCTGTGGCGTTCATCACCATCATATCTGTGCATCAGCCTGTACTTGGATAAATTTATGTGATTTAAATCAGCCTACTAAAAGGTCTGCATACTTGTACCCTTACAGTAATCCATGTAATGTAGAAGTTATTGAAATGTACAACTAAAGTGGGAAGTGAGTCAGGCTGCATGGCAGTAGTTAGCTCAGGCCTTGTATCATGAAAGGTTGTAAAAAGGGCACATGTTGAAAAGATCACACAAATTCTGATACTGAGCAACATCCTGTTCCTCATGATTGTTAGACTAGGTATAACCTTGTCTTCCAGTTAGACCAGTCTTAAACCAAAAGCTTTTGTTCTCAGTTTTATGTTTCATAGGATGCAATAAAATTGGGCTCATTCATGTATTGTGGTATTTTCTATTATGAAAGTCTTCATTTTCAAAATGCATATGCCTGAATTCTAATGTGGTGCCATTGATTTATAGAAAAATGCATATCGTGACAGTTGGTTATTTCAATGGATTATAGAACTATATATAGTGTAGTTACTGATTTGTGAACAAGATCAAATAGGTCATTTAAAAAAAATGTAGCAGTCTTGGCAGGGTAGGTGTTTTGCGTACAGCTTGTAATTCCCTTCTTCCTGTTCCCTCACATGCCCTTTTGTAGAAGCACATCAGGGACCTTTCTATTTCCTTTGTGGATGACTGCTAATGCCTTGTTTTTACAGCTATTTTTCCTATCATACTTCTGCAGGTAATTTTTAAGAACCTAGGTTTGCAAATATATTGTAACCTGGGGCTTTCTGAATTACTTGGTGATTTTCTACAGGCTGTTTGATAAACAGTGTCTTCTAGTGTGCAGGCAAGTGTAAGAAAAAGTAAACAGTTTATACATAGAGAGCTATCTAAATAGTATCTCTTCTCCATATGTTGTAGTACCCACGAGAGGCTCATTATAATACCTGGACCTTTTGTGCACCAAATACTTCGGTCCAGATAATGCTGTACTCCATCTGCCTTAATCTCTGAGCTGCACAATATGAAATTCTTAATGCTTTGACCTGCTATATGCTAGCATTTTTGAGCTTGGATTTTTCTTGTCCATGTTGCCATTTTAAACGACTTTTCAAGGTTGTTGCTTTGAAATTTTTCACTTCTACTGAATTATTCTATTTTACTGGGTTTTTTTCTCTAAACCAAGTGTGACTTATGAATGTTGAAAAGTGTATGAATCTCTAAGGGTTTTTTTCCTACTTTTTGATTTTTTTTGGTTGGTTTTTTTGTTTTTGTTTTTTGTTTCTGTTCTATCTTTAAAGTGTTGTGATTGTTGATCTTATTCAGGGTGTCACTGACTGGGCAGAGATCCAGACATATAGGTTGGGAAATTTATTTTTTTCAGCAAACAGTACTTTGCTTGCTTCACTGACATGCATTTAAATCTACTGTCAACATAAACCAGATACTGCACTATATTTCAGAATTTCACTCCAGAAACATGATGCTCTTAAAATCTGCAGATGTTTCAGAAATTTCTAAGAGCAGAATATTATTTCCAAGAGTAATAGCTATCTAATGTTTTATTTATATATAAACAAATACTCCAACCAGAATTTTTTTTCTTTTATTTTAAGGATCTTTGTTGTCTCTACCCTTTACCACCCTAAATTCTTTCCCGTGACTGCAGTAAATGCTTATAATTACTTTTTTCCCTTCTTTTCTCCTACGACCACCAAAATGTAAGGAAAGACAACACTGCAGATTTTAATCAAACAGTGTTTATCAGTTGAAGATTATCCTTTCACATGTAGAGTTACTGGTAGAAGATAATGCTGCAAACTGCCTTTCTGCTGCTTAAGTTCTAGCTCTTTCCCTGTGGCAGTGCAAGACAACTTGAAGCACCTCATACTGAAAGAGTGATGGGTAACCTTCCATTTACTGGCAGCTGGATGGTGAACTGTTGTGTCACTGGCATGGCAACTTTGCATGTGCACACGCTTATCCAATGGTAAATGCTTGTCTATGCTTTTTGGAGGGGAAAACTTATGAAATAGACCTGGCAAAAATGTGTGCACTGTTCAGTGAGATACTGGCATGTAGTAACTTACCTTTGTGTTAAAAATATTTTGTTATAAGAAAGGATTCATTAGGTGGAAGCAGCAGTTTAAAGGGCAATTGCCAGCAGGTGAAAGGCAGCATTTCTTATAATAAAACTTCAGTTATGTAAAATAGTCTTGTACCTTGGCAGCAGTACCTGGATATTCAGCTTGCTTTTCAGAAGTATGACTAATACAATCAAACAACTTGTGTTTCAGTGTACTTTGTAGGTATTTTTCAAGCATGTTCAGTGGTTCGGGGTTAAATAAATAGGTGGGAGATAGCATAATACATGGTGAGTTGGAGTGGGATCATCTCATGTGTCATTACTTAGCTGCCCAGTCAGCCAGTATGCTTTTAACTTTCTGATGTAGTCGCAAACAAGGACTGATTATGTTACTGTGTGTCCCTCTGATATGTATGACAATTTGAATTGATTTTGCATGTTTGCAGTTACCACAAGTGCGGAAATGATGCATTTGAAATGCTTCAGGTGTGGAAGTATTTAATAAAGAGAAGCTAGTACGCTGCAAATAGCCTTTCTTTATTTAACACAATCCATCTTTGGGGGTCAGAAATTAATAATTACCAGTGTATGGAGAGAAAATAATTTATAATTTTTTTTTTCCAAATGCATAGTTAGATTTTATCTGGTTATTATTTAGCACAGGATCACAAGAAATGTTCAAATTAGCTAAAGGGTAAATGTCAAGTATCAAGACGTTCCGTAGAATAGACATTTAAATTCTGATGAAGATTTATAGTTGTTTGGGATATTTTCCTTTCTCATGTGCACACTTGTTTTTTTTTTTTTCCACTGTGTGTATTGTGAGGCCTTAACAGATAAATTTATTCTTAATAGTCCTTGTTGAAATTGCTACGTGTTGACGTTACCTCAAATTTGTTTGGGTTTTTTTTCCCTTCGTGTTTTTCAGATTATGGCACAGGCTCAGGGTTTGGGGAAGAGATACATTAAAGCCTTTTTAAAAGGTTTCTTTGTTGCCGTTCCTGTCACTGTGACTTTCCTGGATAGAGTTGCCTGCGTGGCAAGAGTGGAAGGAGCATCAATGCAGGTATTGCTGGAAATATCTTTTGTCTCTCAGGAAATTAAAAAGTGACTCTCCACTGACAATAGCAAGGTGGAAAAAAATCTTTTTCTCAATTGTTATTAAATGACAACATTGTAGTATGAAATAGTTTAATTTCTACTTTGTTAAACATATAGTTTTGTGATATGAAAGAAAATCTTTTGAGAAGAAAACTTCCCAAAATTCTGTCTCAGTAAAAGGAAGAAGTAGTATGGAGAAGTAGTGATAAAGATATATTGTTTTAATACCTTCCTAGACATTTAGAAATATTTGGAGCAATACCTTTTGTCTCTTGGGATTGATGACTCACAAGGAGGCTTTATTAATTTTTAGTAGCTGCATTATAGTAACTGTAAGGCAAAACTCTTTTTTGCCATACTTGCTCTTACTAGTGAACATGTATGGCACCATTGCAGTGAAGAATGCTGAAAGTGGCATGAACAATATATAATATTCATATATTAATACATGCTTATCAGGACATAGGTATCAGTTCAGTGTTTTTACTCTGGTTATACTGAATGTTTATACAGTGTAAGCAAATAATTATAAATAGCCTGTGTAACATTTAGACAATAAATACTCATGATACTGAACAGCTACTTTTCCTCTGGTTTTGGAACTTGAAAAAGATATGTTTTAATGTAGCCAATTTCTGTATTGTTGCTTTGCATTTTAAGTCATAAGCAGTGCGCATTGCTGTGCATCACCACTGATAACCGTAATATATTTTGTTCCAATCATGCAACATTGCAAATAGCAGAGACTAAGAATTCTGATCTTGGATGTCAAGCCCTCTTTTCTGATTGTCTGGATAAGCTCAGAACCTTGAAGAGAGGCTTCATAGCAATCAAGACCAGCTGCTGGAGTCTGAATTGTGCAATATTTACACAGACAAAACTTGGGCTAGATCCTGGACTTGACTGATTTGTGTTTAATGCTATAAAAAACATGTGGGGATCTAGAGCCTCATGAAACATTCAAGATGCAGGTGCATATTGGATTTTCTGATTTTGGTTTTACATTTTTGTTTGTTTGGGTTTTGTTGCTTTTTGCTACTGGTGAGCATGACCTGAACATTTAAATTTTGAGGTGTTGTTTCTTTAGCATGCCACAATGCCTTTCATTGTTTGTTCTTTTCCGTCTGTGATCTAGTGTTCTTGCTTGATAGTTTTACGTCAGTAACTGAAAAGAAATTTTTTAGATTTTCCCTCTCCACAAGCTATTGAACCCCTCTGGTCAATACCTCAGTTCTACATTTTTGTGAAAGTCAAAGTCCCAGTGCTGGGCAGTTGTTTTGTTTAGTTTGGTGTTGTTCTGGAGTGTTGCTTCTCTAATCACTTGAAGGGCATATCATTAACTATGGTTTATCCATGGAAGATTTGGAAAACCCTACAGTTATTTGCTCAGATTTATTCAACCTGACAAAGAAGGATATGCTCTCTGTAGTGGCTAGGGAAAGCAATATCTATTCACTGGGTGATTAAAATTGAAGCTCTTCCCTTGCCTTGTCTGTTGACTAAACATTACCTCTGTTGATTGAAGTATGGCTAGCTTGAAAACTGACATTTGTAATTTTACTGACATCTCAGAGTGTGTAAAATTCTTTAGTTTTATTCTGGACTGTAGCACTGAAATAGAAGTTTAAAACAAACTTTTATGCATATGGATGTTTTCCAGATTACAAAAAAAAACAAAAAACCCTAGTGCTTTTAATAAGATACTGATTTCTTTGCCAAGATTTATTAGACATTTAAGCAAGTCTGACAGGGACATAATTATAAGGAATATAACCCTCTTTTGCAGAGTAGCTTAAAAGAGTACTGGTCATCACGTTGCAATTCTGTCTGTTTACTGTGTTCTTTGAAAAGTGATTTATACTGAATGTATCTGAAAGCTAGGGGTATGACAGCGTTTGAAGTTCAGTCAGTTTGTAGTCATCTATCCTTCAATCACATGCTTCCAATGATACCTTATTGTCTCAATTTGAAGATATCACAAAGAAGAAGAAGAAATTCTTGTAAGATTTACAAGAATTGTTTGTAATAGACCTCTAAAATGTCTAGCTGGCTTTGTGTACTCATCATTGTGATTCCTGCTGGGCCTGAAATTAAAAGTTTCGTCAAGAAGCAAGAAATAAATCTCTCTGTGTCCCACACACTCTCCTGCTCTTGTTCCCTGTTGTGCTCTGTCTCCCCCCTCACTTTCTTTTTGTTTTGATGCTGCTTTGTAGTTACTGATGATGGTAATACTTTGATACCCTAACAAGCGTGCTGAATAAAGCTTCTAATGAAAGTACAAATTTTCTGATTTATTCCCAGTCAAGACAGACTTCATGCATTTCATTGTCTCAAACTGATTCTGTGTTTCTACAGTGCTTTCAGCCATAATTCAGTCATAATTCATTTCAGTCATAATTCTTGTACTGACTTCAGTGTATATGTGTATTAACCCTAACCTATAGGGAATAACAGTGAACTATTGCATTTTATAATTTTAACATTTTTAATTGTGTAATTTCCTTTTCTATTTCTGAAATTACTGGGTTTTTTTAATCCTCTCATGAGGTGGTTTTGTTGCTTAGGATTTTACAGATAGATGTGCTCATCTAGCATTCTGTTAATAATGAGTTTCAAGTGAGTTGTAATCTGTTTACAACATTGAATGTAAGTGACAAAAATAACTGGTAGTAAGATTTCTTAATTGCTTGTTGTGGATTTTTTGTGTGACTCCTCTTGTAGTGCTGGCTGTATACTTTAAAATGTTTGTTATTATGTGGCCATCTTGATATTGATTTATGTAATTTTTTTATTGAGTTTCATTGCTTGTCTGGTATTATGAACTCTTCATACATACTGATGTGGAAAAGGAACTCTCTATGGATACATAAATTTGTAAATTCCTTAAATTGAATGGACTGTTTTCAAGTGTAACAGAGATGGAAGATGACAGCATATGTGCAGCTTAATGTGGAAGTTCTGTTGCAAACAGTTCAATACCAAGGATTACAGCAAGTGGCTTGAGTGTTGACCTCTGACAAAGCACACTTGTTTCCACAGCAAACATTATTGAATGTTCTATTCCATTATGCATAATAGCAGTTATTATGCTGTGGCAGTTTCTCCTAACTTTATTATTAGAATTACTGTACCTAAGCCTGTAAACTCATGTGAATATTCTTTATGTTCCCCAAGCTTCAAGTAAATAAGCTGTGACTATCACTAGTGACATAAAAACTACCAAGTTAATAATTATTTATAGTAAAAGGGCATGTTTTTATCCTCCTGCTTATAGAACTTTATGTCCTATGAGGCTTCATCACATGGCTGGGGATCTCAATTTGCATGCTTTTAGCATTAGATTAGTTAGTGGTTAGAAAGAGTAAATGTTTTGTGGCTTCTGCACCACAGTTTAAATTAAGACCTCTGTGTCTCATTTGTAGCAGGCCGTTATGCCAAGAACTTGAGCAAAGAAGTCATAATGCTTCAAGCTAGAAGAAGGAAGAGGTCCCTGTATTATTTTGTTTCTTATAAAGAACCCTTGTGAGCCTATTTGTTGACTCTCTTTGAGAAGCTCTATTTTGGTTTTGCTAGATCTGAAACCTTACTAGTAGTAAAAATATCATGAGGAATAAGTTGTGTTATTTCTATACTTTTGCTGTAGAATCTAATTTTTGTAAGTTACAATAGAGAAAGGCTTGCTGAAGCATTTAGATTTTCTTTTTTGTAGTAGATAAAAGTAATTGTTGATGTAAAATGAAAGTCTCCTAGTTTTCCTTAAATTTCTTCTAACAAAATTGTATTTTTGTCTGTGCATTTGTCAGGTTGTTTTGTCAGAAAGAAAAGCCCAACACTGTCATATTTTTCTCAAACATAACGTATAATGAGTTGGATATCCACTCTGTGTGTCAAAACCACATTAGCTATTGTTAAAAATGCATTTATAGTGCATTAAGTTAAAAAGATTATGTAATATCTAAATGTATTTCAATTCTAAAGCATTTCCTTTGTTTAAATACAGAAAACAGCTGCAACAACCCAACTAGGGCAATACTGTACCTACCTGGTGTATTTCTCTGTAAGATGTAGTTAATATAGATTTATTTGAGAGGAAAAGTCTGTGAACAGTCATGTAGATTTTCTCTAAGTATCAGCTGTGAAATACATCATCTTTTGAAACAGTGGTTTTAAAATTTCAATTTGTTTCATCCTTTTGGCCCTTTAAGATAGATACTTTTGAATACTAAGGAGTTTACTCTGTGAGAATATCCTATATGTATGATTTCTTCTTTGTAAGATTAGTCTCTGCCTTATGCTTAGTACTGTTGTTAGCTTCTGGCCCATATCTGCCTGCATTTAGCAAAATGAGTATGACTGTGAATTGTTAATGGATTTGTGTGTAGATCATTTGTATGTAAATAAACGATCCTTTGGTGGAAAATGCTATGAAGGTGGTAAATGATTTTGGAAATCCTGATTAAAACCTGTTAATCAAATATCTGCTACTTATCTTCTGGTTTTCATTTATCTGGTTTTTGCAGTGCTTAGAGTCTGATAGATAAAATAGTGATCAGTGTTAATATGTTTATATCTTAGACTTGAACCATATGTCTATGGATGTTAAGGTGATCTGCTTTGATCTGCAGACTTACTTGACTAGAAACTTGCCCATAGTCCACAGCTCAAAATGTAACTAGCCTTGTTTGCTGTTGAAGTAAACATATTGTGTCATATCCCTCCCCTTCCCCCAACACATTTATTCTTTTGACCTATCATATTGCTTACTGTTCATTTGAATTACACCTACTGAGGACCCCAGCACAGTACTTCCTCTTGCACCTTGAAAAGCAATTTTTTCACAAGTCTAATTTGACATAGATGTTTTTCAACCAATCAGGTTAGCAAAGAAAATATGAAGGAACTGTAGCAAAGAGAAATCTGCACTTCCAGTTGCTTCTGAATTAACCATCTGTATTTAAGAGCAAAGTTTTACTGAATGAGAATACAATTAAATTTAACATTGTGTAATTACTTGTGTTGAGAACAGTTCATTTCAGTCTCCCAACTGGTTTACTTATCAAAGGTACTATCGATCTGGGGAGGGGCATATCAGTAGTGAAAGTCTAGTGGTTCTTGGGAAAGTCCAAGTTAGATTTAGATTGTAAGGTGAGCCCTAAAACCCTCTTCTACAAAACAAATGAACAAGCAAACAAAAAACAACCACAAAAAAAATTAGCTAATATTGCAGCTCTCATACTGACAAATGAGGGGCTGCCTAATCTCAATACTCTGTTTTATTGCATATGTCACCTAACTCTAGAATCTAAATTAAAGGTCATCTGCTGTCCAACTTGGAGATAGTGTAATTGTATTTGAAGAGACTGAAAAAGCTTACTGAGAAATGAGCTATCAGAAGACTTTAGCCTGGAATACTCTTAAATACTTTCTGTCTAGTAAAAAGGAGTATTTTTATTGAAATGAGCTCTGCAAAACTAAATGCAGACAGTACTGTGATGGACTGCTTCCTTCCTCTGACATTTCCTATGGGTTAACTTGGAGCCAGCATTGACCAGCTACTCTGGTTTTGTATCACATCCCACAAAATAATTATGTGTGGTTCTACGTACCTCCTGTACTCATTAATTACTTGGCTATTTTAATGCTGAGTTTAGTGACCAGTCTTGTTTCTATGTGTCGTTCTGTGAGAGTTCAAGCTCCTATTTATCCTATTATGGAAGGCTCACATTTACTGCCAGTGCATGCTGTAGGTGTAGGGTTTGTTTTTTCCCTTTGCAAAGGAATTAGTACTGTTATAAGTACATATTTAATTTTTAGTGCGTTATGCTTGTATAAGCAGTAAGATGCCAGCAAAAAAATTGTTGCTTTTTTTCTTTCTGGGAATTAGTGTTTTTAGTTCTCCTTTGATTTTAATATTAAATGATAAGCACTAAAGGCAATCTCTTCTTTTCATCAGGCTTCCTGTAAGTATTTATCCTTTGTAATTCGATTTACGTGCAGTAGTGCACTGAAAGATATGAAGTACAGTTTGTCAGAAATTAATTATATTTAACATGTCATTTAATAAAGAAACATATTTCTCATAATACAACAGATTCCTGGCCTCTTACAGTAAGTGGGCATGTTTTTACTGATTTTAATTGATTTTACCTGTTGGTGGAATGAGAGGTGGAAAATCCATAAAGGAAATGTAGATCTAAAGATGATTGGGGTTTTTTTGTCCCCCTCTCTCAGCCTTCTTTGAATCCTGGGGGAAGACAAGCATCTGATGTAGTGCTCTTAAACCACTGGAGCATTCGAAATTATGACGTACAACGTGGGGACATTGTGTCATTGGTGTAAGTAATTTTGCATACATTTCAAAACGTGCTTATATAGATGTTGAACCATCAATATTTAATCTAGAATCATGTAAGTATATATATGAGCAAGGAACATAAAATTTTTGATAACACGTTATTGTTATTCCTGTCATCCATTTTCAAAACTCAAATGTTCAAAGAATGCATTACCAAGTTTTATTAGAAAAGAATACTGTGCAAGATATTATGTGATACGGCATATATGCATACCAAAACTGCCAAGAACAAAGAGTTGTGAGATAAAGAGAGAAAACAGATAAAACATTGTGGCTTTAAAGTTGTTTGGCTATACACTCATATTTTTGAGAAATATAGTCTTTCCTTATCAACTCATATTTTTTTTTTTCCTGGAGAAATATGTCTACTGAATAAAATTTTAGATAAGATCACAAGAATTCAACCACCTCCCTAATGGAGAGATGGAGCAAAAAAACCAATTTTGCATTTACAATGGGGAGGTCTGTGTATCAAGTCAAAAGGTGGCAGTGTTTCACTGTTGAAAATATTCAAGACTAACAGAGGACAGAAACTCCATTTCAGCCTTAATATAATATAAAAACGGAATGTCAAAGTGTGTATAACCAACACAGTGATATAATACATACTCATACTACGTGGTTGGATAGTTTAAGCTTAAGGTTTTAGTTTTCTAAGTGAAATGCATATTGCGTAGATTTTAACAGAAATGTCTTTGGAAGCTATATTATCTGGCTTCCTTTTTGTCATATATCTCTTTTAATTTTCCCATTTTTTTGCCTATGTCTTCACTGTAGTGGTAATTTGTAAGACAATTTTCGCTACCAGCTCTTAAAGCCAACCTTCTCACATATTCTTCTTTTGTTAGACACTTAAAATTTACATGGTGATCTGTCTTCTTTTCTGTAATGTAACATTTTCTGTAAATGATCCAGCTACAGATATGAATTAATTCAGGTTTGCAACAACAATATTGTAAAAGGACTCTGATTTCAGGTTGTTTAATGATTGCTTGTAACATCTCATTCTGCCTGTGTGGGCATCCCTCTGCCCAAGTCATGCTCTGGTGATCGTTTAAACCAGTCAATGTAACTGATTAGTAATTAATAGACTGAACAGAAAATGAGCATGTTGTCTGATCAGAAAACAGAATTAGCAGTTTCCTTCTTGTTATACTTTTTGATTGTTTGTGATTTCATCTGAGATGTCTGCATTGACTGCTTTCACTTTGCTTTATATTTGAGCATGATAACTGGTCTTTTAGATGCTGTGGGTTTTTTTGTATATTTGGAAAATTTTCCCTTATCTCTAAGGCAATCGTGAAGTTTATGTACACTTATATGGAAGAAATCACATTGCATTTATGCACTGTACTAAAGTTTTTCTTAGTCTTTGGGAAGTGCATTGAATAATCAGATTAGAGAATTCAAAAAGGACTTTAAGATCAATACAAAGAAAGTTAAACAATGTAAATATAATCTATTGAATAGTTCTGGTATGAAAATATTGAAGGATATTTTATATATCAGTAACAACTTTTAAGTTAAATAATTCATGATATGGGTTTGTTAGAATCATCTTTGACCTAATATTGTATTTTAAAGTTTTTAATTATGTTATGTTGTAAAGGCTTGCAGGATATAGTAGCTGAATGTGATTTTGTTCTCGTGAGTTTTTCAGACATAATTTTGGTAAATGAGACTTTTATTGTGTAAACAGGTTAATACTTTTATCCTTTTCATTTTGATTATTTACCTATGATTACTATAACTCACTGGTGAATAGATATCCTACGTATATGCGTGAATTTTACTTGGTCATCCTCAGAGGAATTGGCTGATTTAGCTAAGGCATAAACAGGGAAGGCCGGTCTCCCACCAGCTGCTGCTTTTTCTGTTCCTTCAGAAATCCATTTGAGAAAGTGTTGATGTGACTGAGATAGGCAGATAGATATGTAAACTTTCTTTTGTGTCCTTCTTGGCTGCTTTACATTTGTCCACTCTCTCCTCTTTGCCAAGTTATAGTAGAAAATGACTAGGAGGTTATGGAAGGACAGTCTCTTGCAGAACAAGAGCTGAAGTAAAATATTCATTCATGGCAGCTTGACCAGGGCCATCCAAACTGATCGCTTTCTTTGCACCATGAGGGATAGATACTGTGTCATTCTGGATGGCTGCTGTTTCTGTCACAATTCTTAAAAGGGATTGTTGAGATCCCAACTGCCAAAGTCCAGCGTAAGTAGGAGGCCAGCAGCCAAAATTTGGAGCAAATAGATGAGTTAGTGTTGATGGTCCTGAACCACTCAAGAGAGAATTAGTGAGCCAGTGGTTATGGATTCTGATACTGTTTGCAGATCTAAAAGTTTTTCCTCTCTCATCCAACTAGTTCTTGATAAACATATATTTTTGTTATATTCTGACTTTTATTGCAGATGAATACCCTGTCCCCAAGTTCTTGGTGGTGTTTATGCCTAGTTAAGGTACTAAGTGAAGATTGTGAGTCTCTGTAATCCCTGTCTCTGTATCTGATGTGGATGAAATCATGTATCACAACCACAGCTGTGAAATTAGCCACTGTGTGTGCGAGCATGTGCATTTATCTGGTTTTGGACATCATATTTAGAATGGCATTAGTCCTTAAAACTATAAAATTAGAGTCAGATAAAAATAATGGAGAGATAAGTTCGTAGCAAAAAATGATTTGTTTAATCACGGTTTAGTGTTTTACAAATAGTTAAATCTTACCTCAGCCTAGAGGCAAGAAGTTTTTTTTTTCCTCTGAACTTCAACTCATCCTTATTGATACCAGAATTAAAAGAGCTCAATGTTACATATTTTAACTTTTGAACTCATAATTTTAAGTTGATTCAAAGCTAAGAGAAATACATATCATTCTTAACTTGATCACTTGCTCGAGCTTAATTTAGGTACTGCTATATTATTTGGACTTATACAACTAAAAATCAAAACAGGAATAATTATTTAAAAAATTAAGTAATTTCTCTTATTACACGTTCCAGAACACTATCTTTGCATCTCTTAAAAAGATTTAAAAAAAAAAAAAAACAACTGTATGGTTTGTTTTGGAAATGCATTTATTTAGCTTCGAAAAGTAAACAGCCATGTAGCACGAGGTCATCTTTCAAAGATAAATGGATGCACGTTTTTCAATAACTTTTGTATTGAAACAGGCATTGTGTTTTGTGAGAGCTCTGCTGAGGTAGATACGAGCAGTTATGTAGAACTTTGTCAGATATGAGTGCCAACAGCATTGTAGCTGTAGCACTGTGCATCACATTGTAGGCTGTACAGGTCATGCTGTACATGCTGTACAGGAATATGTGCTGCAATGGCAATTCCCAGTACTTGTGGAGATAATGCTCTTCTATTGTGGATTAATGGACATTTTTACCAATTTACCTGTATGTAATTTGGTTTCTACTGTACAGAAATGCAGGCATTGTTATAAAAAGATGCTGCTGAAGAGTGATTTCTAGGTCTAGAATTCATTTTGGTTGTCTTTATGGAAAACCCCATGTCCTGATTGTAAAATCATGCCCTCTTTTTATTCCAAAATTTTTTTTTCTTAATATAGAAAAAGGTTGGTGCAACATGTCGAATGTTGCATATCAGCATGTGTATGTAGAATGGGTATTTTATTGATGTGACAAAATTTGAGTAAGTTTTTGAATTGAAGACACAGCAGTATTAATTTCGACCTTTAATATGTTTTCTTAAATAAATAGAAGTTTGGAAATTGTCTTGTTCCTTAATTGGTTAATAGGTTTTTAACAAAGGAATTAACAATGACTGCAGTATAAATTATGTTGTTAGATTTTCGAGTGATGAAATTTCAGGGTTGTAAATATTCCCAGATGCAAATTTTAACCCGGAGATTAAAAATTAGAGGTTAATTTAGAGTTTGAGTTTTGTCTGTAATAGAGAGAACACCTTCTCCAAGGTGTGACTGAGAGCAGGAACCTACTTGCTGGGTAAGTTCCAGGTGTCCCTGCATTTCTAATGTAGATTTCTAATGTAGAATGTGTTGTCCTGTGTCAAATAAAAATAGCTATGGTAATTTAATCTGGAAAAAAAATGACAACCAGTGGTGTTTGTTCTGTACATTCTGAGTGGTAACATGCTTTTAGAGGTTTGAACTATAATAGCTAAATGAAAATGGGCAGTATGTTTAAAAACAAGGAAATGTTGTATATTTTGTCAGCTTCTTATGAGTTCTCATATAGAAGTGTAATTCCTTTAAGTACAAACCCAACTTTATAGAAATTTCCTTGACATTAAAAAAAAAAAAGCATACTTTCTGTCTCCTATCCTTATTATCCTTATGAGGGATATAAAGTGGTTTCTGTCAGTGCTTCCTCTGACTGTAAGATTATGCTCAGACCTTTCAGTAAACTCCCTTACTTTGGATAAACTGCTAAACATTTTTGTGTAAGGCTGTGTGTGTTTGATCTTTGAAAAATCCAGTGCAGATCAGCATTCTGGAGGAAGAATCGGAGTACTGCATGTGAGGTTGTTTCTGTGACTGTGTCCCTCATTGGCACTCGTTCAGAAACAAGAACTGGAAAAGATAATTGTGATGATGATATTATGTGATTGTGTAGCAAGTTTCAATGTATACATACAAATCTGAATAATCCCATTTTTGAAGAAATCTAGTCCTGTTTAGTTGATAAAAAAAAAAAAAGGAGTTCTCTAATGGTGAAAACTGAATACATACTATTCTTAAAAGATCACTAATTGGAATTTCATTCTTGAGACTAGCCTAGTAAAATAAATATCAGTAAGAAGGTACTTATTGAAGGAACTGCGTTGAATTTGTAGTTGTAATTATAAAAGACTTTCCACTAAATTCTGATAGATATAACGTGAATGGACATTTAATGGTTCTTGTATTATTTTTAAGAAAGCTTCTTTCTGGACAACCTTTTACGAATACCTCTACTTGACCTTCTTAAATCTTCCAATTTCTATTTTATTTTT